CGGCTGCTCTGCGCCTGCAGCCCCCTGCCCGCGTCGCCGCCCGTCCTGAAGGAGCCGGCCTCCGAGGGCCTGTCGCCCATCACCACCCTGACGGCCACCATGGACCAGCTGCAGGGCCTGGGCAGTGTGGGTGAGCAGCCGCCCGAGGCAAACAACAGCAGTCTTCAGAGAATGGGCTCCTCCGAGTCAACAGATTCAGGCGTCTGTCTGGATTCTCCTGGGCCCTTGGACAGTAAAGGAAACCTTGAAAATCCCATGAGGAGAACAAATTCCCTGCCTCCGAAGCTTTTGGGATGTAGTTCAGCTCTGAAGGGGAGCCATTCCGATTCCCTGGACCGTGATGTCTTTCAGCTGATGGACCAGGAGGAGACTAAGGAAAACCTTTCCTCCAACGAAAGAGAGAGCAGTGAGCCAGAGAACTTCATTCCACTCTTTATGCTCCAGTCACCCGTGACTGCCACTTTGTCTGATGAAGATGATGGCTTCATGGACCTTCTTGATGGAGAGAATCTGAAGAATGATGAGAAGACCTCCTCCTGCATGGCAAGCCTCTGGACGTCTCCCCTTGTCATGAGAACAACTGCAAACGTGGGCAACCAGTCCCAAGAAGCCCCGGGAGATTCTGCATCCGTCTTCAGCCTGGGTATCCCCGCAAAGGGGACCATTGAGAATATTCCGGATAACGACCCCAGAGACCTCATAGGGGACTTCTCCAAGGGTTATCTCTTCCACACAGTCGCTGGGCAGCACCAGGACCTAAAGTACATCTCTCCAGAAATTATGGCATCTGTCTTGAATGGCAAGTTTGCCAACCTCATTAAAGAGTTTGTTACCATTGACTGCCGGTACCCATACGAATATGAGGGCGGCCACATCAAGGGTGCGGTGAACCTGTACATGGAGGACGAGTTGGAAGACTTCCTGTTCAAGAAGCCCGTCTCCCCCGCCGACGGCAAGCGCGTCATCGTGGTGTTCCACTGCGAGTTTTCCTCCTCCGAGCGGCCGCGCATGTGCCGCTATGTGCGAGAGAGAGATCGGCTCAGCAACGAGTACCCCAGACTCCACTACCCTGAGCTGTACATCCTGAAGGGCGGGTACAAGGACTTCTTCCTCAAATGCCAGTCTCACTGTGAGCCCCCCAGCTACCGGCCCATGCACCATGAGGACTTTAAAGAAGACTTGAAGAAGTTTCGTACCAAGAGCCGGACCTGGGCTGAGGAAAAGAGCAAGAGAAAGATGTACAGCCACCTGAAGAAGCTCTGAGGCAGCGGCCGGTGGACAGCAGCGCCGGTGCCTGCTCCATCCCCTCCCCTCTTGGCTGCATTTGGAGAGGTGCCTGGGGCTTCCTCCGTACACTTCCGGCCACATTCCCGAGGATGGAGCCCGAGCACCCGTCCCGCATCAGGACCATCTCCCAAGGCTGTCACAGGCCCAGTTCCGAGCACCACGTCAAGTCCAGTTCTGCCTCTTGGTCCCCACAGCTGGAGGAGCCGCTGGGGCCTTACTGGGATCCTGACCCCACATGAGAGGAGGGGAGGAGGGGGAGTGAAGTAAGACCATGAAAGTGTTGCTGGTCAAACTCCAAAGACGGCCTGGGAAGGGATAACCCATGTCTTAGTTTATTCAACCTCATCAATCACTTTATTATTACTTTTAACTCCTGGAGACTTATTTAGCTTAGCTAAAAAAAAAATTTGCCGGAAGCCCCTTGACACAGTCGCTGCAGGGAAGAAACGCCCTAACCTTTGGAATAGAATGGATAGGATTAAAATCAACTGGTATAAATACAGATGTAACAGGACAATAAAGACAGAACCTGGCTAGGCTGCTGATCAACTGAACAAAAATAAATAAATAAATAAATAAATAAAACCATAAAAAAAAATCTCTAATGGAATTATCTAGCCATGGAGTAAGCTGCCTCTGGATTTGGTGAGGTCCCCTTCCCTGGGCAAATTCCAACACGAATGGGTGGCTGCTTGTAGAGTTTGGGATCGATTGTCTGACAACCTTTAGATTTCATGCTCCATCTGGCCTGTGTCTGTGATGAAGAGGCTGCTCAATGTGCTTAATACCCTTTTCTTGAATCGACTTGAGCTAGATATATAAAAAGGAAGTACTCATTGGCTAAATCATTACAATTTTGAGACTACCCAACGTATTTTATTTGTCATAATGTTTTCTCATCAGCCATGAATATTCCTGAACACATCTTTTTGAGGTCCGCATTACCACTTCTGTAAGATAAAGGGCTAGAAGCAGAAAAACAAAATGGTTTATGAATTATTGAATGGGCTGCTTACAGCATCTTTCTGCTTGTGAATTCAAGGCTGGAACAGAGCCTGAGACACTCAGCTTCCTTGCCCAGTGGTGTGGTACAAAGACAGTTCCAACTTCCCCAAATGCAAGGGCGAAAGGCACACAGCAGATCTTACTGCACTCATCTCCAGCTTCTGGGACAAAGAAACAGCCCGAGTTAGGCCCTGAATTACAGGGGTTCAGGAAAGGAGGGTTCGCCCATTCCACAGAGGACAGGAGGGCTGGAATAGAAGCCTTCGGTCTGATAGGATCTCATAAAATGTCTTGAGCCTGTTCCCAAGGGCCCTGAGAGATAACAACCCCAAATCATTTGCCAGGCCATTCTAGGGCAGGGCATAATTTAGAGAAAGAGAAGCAGGAGGTTCTGGTGAGCAAGGCTGGGGACCTTGCTCCCACACAGGCATCAAAGACAGTGACCTTGGGGCTCTCAATTAGGACAGACTGACCCAAGAAACAGGGACAGGTGGTCACTTGGCTACTCACTCTGAAACCCCACATGGGGTATTTTAATAGTGTTCTCCATCTGTCCAACCTCAGAGTTAATCCCTTCCTAATCTGAGCTGTAATAATTGGGTAATCAGACAAGACACTCCACAAAGCACAGGCCATAGTTTTGCTGTTCTTTTGGCTAGACTTTCCTTTTATTGGAGCAAAGTATAGCTGACCTAGAAATTTCCTGTTTGAGCTTCAGTCTTCCGTTAAACAAAAGCAGACACTCCTAAGAAGCATGAATGTTTAGCAAGCACAGCCCTCCTTCTCGAGGGTAATTTCAGTCACTGCTCCCTGAACATACATGAATGGGAGCTGCTAGGAGGAAACCACATGATTCTGCTTTTTGCTGCAAACAGGAAGAAAGAAAGAAAGAAAGAAAGAAAGAAAGAAAGAAAGAAAGAAAGAAAGCAAGCTTCATGGTTAGCTATGGCTAATGAGCTCACTGGTGTGTGTCCAGGAAACATCCCAGAATGGATACATCTGCTGAGATTTCCATCTTTTGAAAAAAGGCACCTTGTGGTGGAGGATGGTGAATGAAACATAAATGAAAGCCAGATCAGGGCCTGAACCTAAAGCACAAGAAGAAGGCCCCGTAGGGGTTAGGATCTGTGACAGAAGAAAGCCTGGCTATTTGGGGATTAACCCATCTTGGGGGAAAACATGGATATATTTTTCAAAGGAGAAAAAACTCACACCCAAGCTGCCAAGGCCTGATCACACTGGTCTAGCACCTGGGCTGGGTGGAGCAAAGGTGGTGTCAGCCTTCCGCTGGAGAGTTTCACGTTGAACCAAGTCTCACGCTGACAAGTCTCCATCACAGGCCAGCATCATGGTTCATTTATGACAGTGCCCAGCACACAGAAGACACTCAGTAAACGCTAATGGCCCCAGCTAAGGCAACAAGGAGGCCCATCCTAAGATACTCTGGAGGTGGCAGTAAGCAGTCAGGTCCTCAATTTAGTCTATTTCAAACATTCACTCCATGTATTTCTTTTAAACAAACAAACAAAAATGTTCTTTCCAAAGGAGAAGGCTAAAAAGGACATGAAGAGAGCTGGGGACTGGAACACCGAGGTCTTGTGATCCTCTGTGCCCTCTGTGGGAGCGGGAACATGAAGGGAAGGGAACCACGGGGATAGGAAGTGCTCTTTCCTGCTGTCTGAGCTGCAGCAGAGTCTGCTAGCTGTCTGCTCTAACCTACAAGGTGGTTTTTAAATTTTTTTAATTTGCTTAAGACAGGGTCATTTAAACTTCAAGAGCCACGCTCCCAAACTAAGCGATAAATTTAAAAGGCCGTGTACGTGTTTTTGTTATTGGCCCAGACTACGTAAGACCCCAAGACGCTGGCGAATGGAAGTTAGAGAGGAAAAAAGAGCACAGAGGGTCTTTAGGAAGGGGCTCTGCTCCTGCGCCTCTGCCTGGGTTAGCTCCAAAGGGTGGGGGGATGAGACCTCCCCTCCAGGGGCTTGAGTAGCTGAGAGCAGAAAGGACCATGCTGCCGTCTGTCTGAGCCCTTGTGTGTGTCTCCTGTGCCATCATGGCAGGGGCCGGAGCGGGGATGCTACAGCATGGGGCAGGGGCGGAGCCAGAGTGGTGTGGGAGAGCAAGGGGACTTTCTGATGTCTCTGAGACTGAAGTTGAAGTAACTGAGGAAGGGAGCCAGCAATCCAGAAGGTCTCGTGGTTCAAGGAGAGGATATGAGACCAACAGCAGCCTGCTCATGTGGCTGGAGACCACCAGGAGCAAGGAACCTGGGCGGAGGGCCTGCCTTAGCTGCACAGGGTGGTTTGTACACACTACCTGCTGGGAGGGCTGTTTAAACTTGCCGCTGCAAGTCCAGAAGCAGATACAGAATAGAGTTCCTTGAAAACGAGCAAAAGTACACCAAGGGAGTAGGTACCTGGGCTCTGGGTCATTTTTCACAGCCCCCTCCGGGCTCACACCCTTGAATTCCTGCGCCTTGCCTACTCATTGACACCTGTGGGCCCTCATCTTGGACTCGGCTCTACTTTGCATCCCTGCTAGGATTAGCTGCTCCCCACTGCTGAGTCTGGTTGCTCCCCACTGTGCACTCAGCCATGCCCAAAGCCCTGGCATCCTGTTCACATGCCCTCTGCTATCTCACCTCATGCTGGTCTGTTTTTGGCTTCCCTATGCCCACCCTGGTGCTGACAGATTGAAGAAACCCTGACCCCTCTGCAGCCTGAGAATATATTCTAAGGGTAGCTCTAGCCAAATAGCAGACCAGTGATTATGAAGCAATATGGTTCTCAGGCCACTCTGACTTACATGCAGGAAATAGAACAACAATATCCACAGTGATTCTTTTGCTGTATCTTATCTGCTACATGGGAATTCTGACACCACCTTTACGTTCCTCCCGGGCAATCCTGAGAGATATGTATGCCAAGATCTAGTCCTCTTGGCGACCACCATTTTCTTTCTTGTTTACTCTGGCTGGCAGTGATACTGTCCTCTCATTGCTGGTAACCTGGAAGTGCCATCCATGACCTTGAAACCTGCTGAGGGCCCACACTTGCTGGAGCAAGTTTGAACCCACCAACATTCATGTCTGTGCCAGGGGCACTAGTGACTGCATTGAAGGGATGAAGGTGAAGTGCTATCTCCATTGCTGGCAATGATGCTTGTTGGGGGTTTAATTGTGTCCCCAAAAGATGTCACATCTTAACCCCTGGTACCTGTGAATGTGACCTTATTTGAAGATAGGGTCTTTGTGGATGTGTCTAAGATGTAAATTAAGACAAGGTGATGCTGGAATGGAGTGGGCCCTCAAGCCCATATGACTGTTGTCCTTATAAGATAGACACGTGGGGGAGAGCACCAGGTGAAGACGGTGGCAGAGTTGGAATGATGCATGCAGAGACTGAGCATTGCTGGCAGGAACCAGAAGCTGGCAGGGAGGCATGGAGACTGCCCGGTGCCAGCCCTGCCAGCTGCTGCATGGCCTGCGCCACCCCCTCCCCAACCCCTCCCCGATCCTCCAGCATTACAGAGAAATGCTCATCCTGCTTTTATTTGGTCCTTTATTGACCACCCCCTTTCCCTAGGATTCAGGTTCACACTCATGGGGGCCAGGCCAAGGTGACATCTTATGAGTGGTGACACCTGCTGGACCAGAACAGCTCATGTCCTGAGCTTCCCAGTCGCTCCAGAGCCAGCATGGAACTGTCTCTCTGAGATGAGCTCTCCCCTCAGCAGCCTCAGCTGTGCCCCAGGGTTAACATGTAAACTTACAAGTCTTGTTGAGCTTTTTACACTTGCATGTTACTAATTAGAAATTAATTTCTCCTGTGAAGAAAACATATACCCACAACAGCTCTTAGCCCACGGAGAAGCTGAGGGTCAGGAAAAATCAGGAATCAAAATCTGCAAAAGAAAACAGAAACTTCAATTTAGCTCAGGGCTGATTGCGCTTAGACCTCTCTGGTCCTCACCCTGCCCACCCTGGGCTAGAGCCTTCCCAGGAAGGAGGGTATAGGAAAGTGCCATAGCAGTGACACCCCCCCCCCCCCCCGCTAGGCTCCCTGCACATGCACATCTGTCCACTTTACCTTATGGTCTCAGCTTGTACGGCCCACAGCATCCCTCAAAGGCAAGACAGGCCTCAGATATGTGGACAGAGTGGACTTGGGAGTGAGGGTCAAGGTTAGCAAAGCTGGGGCTCTTCCTGACTGTCCTCATAACAGGGACCCTGGGTTAGAGGACATTTGAGGGTCCTCACTGGCATCACAGTGTCTACAGCTCGCCTTGGATGATAATCATGGCCAGGAGGGTGGAGATGGGCTGGAACAGGGAGCTGGCCTTATTGATTGGGCTGGGGTCCAGAGCAGGTGAAGAGAGCTGGAGACAGGAAGTGTTCATCCCAATTCAAGCATCCTTTCCAAACTTCACTGATTGAGCATTATCCCCTTAAAGACCTCAGGCAAATTTCAGGAAAGCCAGCAGCCTCCTTTATGGCGATGCTGTGACACAGGGAATTCCACAGCAGCAGCCACACCATGGCTCCAAGGGCAGCTGCTCACCAAGCCTTTTCCACATTATGTTCTGAGTGGTTTCCCTCAGCTAGAACATTCCACTCAGTGAGCTTAGGACAAAGGCAGGGGCCACTCTGGCTGAAGACACCCTGGAAAAGGAATCGATGATGATAAGCTCTCTATGATTCCTCCTGTTTCTCTCTTTTTTTTTTTTCTTGCTTTGATTATCCTCCTCCAGAGACACTAGCTACCCAGAGAGAAAGGCCCGACGGAACAACAAACCCTCCCTCGTGCCAAAAGAGAAAAGCAGGCACATGTCTCCAGCAGGGCCCACTTGCTGTTTGCATCTGTGACGCATCCTGTCATTTCAGAACAGCTTTTTCCTGAAACAGTTCCCCTCAGCCCCTTTCTCTAGCCATTTCTTCTCAAATTTTCTGTTCACTGTTTAAATTGGGGCAGGGTGGGGCAGTGGCAGGGGAGGGGAGAAGAAGGAAAGATGAAACTGTAACCCAAAACAGGAGACATTTCTGGTAAAATTTTCTTCACTGTCATGATCTGTCTTTCAGGGAAAAGAAATCACCATTTTGTGCAAACACAATCGGCTTCCCCACGCTTGACAGTGAAGAGCAACTTAAGGTGCAGGTAAACCTTTGCACTGGTTTCTAACAATAGCCTTTTAAATCAATCTGCCACCCAAAGTTTGACTGGGGCCCTCCTCCCTTGTCCTCCCTCCCCCCACCCCCAGGGTGGGGCTGAGAGGTACTGTCAGCTAAGGTCCTTGTAAACTGGCCTTTCTATGATGGTCTCTATAAAAAGGACCTTGGGTTGGAGGACAAGGGAGGGTCCCCACTCACATGACAGTTTCTAAAGCCCCCCTGCCCAGTGCCTCCAAGTCTTGATGGTTCCAGGAATCCTCACATTCTTCTACCTCAGGGCCAGTGACTTACAGTTGCCACCGGCACCTTCCCCAGAATGAAGACTGCTTTGTCCAGTTCTCTTTGTTTGGATGTCTATGTCCCAGGGGAATGATATTCATCCCAAAGTCCTCGCCAGCTTTCTCCCCAGGGGGCTCAAGGATTCTCATGCAAATGGCCTGTCCTGCTAGGTCAGAGCTCCCAGTGGATGAGCAGGTTCACCTCCCAGCTCTCTGCTCTGGGCCTGAGAAGGGGAGATATTTATAGACTCCTGAATCTTCCTGGATCCCAGTCATAAACTCTTCCAGATGACACAGTTATGTAGTAACCCACATAGCTAAGCAATTGTATGGTGTGTATAAAAGAATTGAAAAAAATTTTCAACTGTCCTCAAAAGGTTGTGGAGAGATAACAAATGAATTTCTCTTTATAGTTCCTAACACCTGTTCTCTCCCCAAGGCAGTGAGGCACCTGATTCCTCATGGTAAGTGGTCAACTAGAATTGGGGAGAGCCTCTCTCTGGTCTTAGCCTCACACCCTGTCTGGGAGGTGCCGGTTAAGAGTGGAAGAGAGCTGATGGGATTACAAGGCTGGGAATAAAAACCTCTCCTGAACCTAAACTCACTGATTTCTTAATTTTATGAAACAGTGTTCTTGATAAACATCAGCAGGAAAGGGCAAGTATATAGGTAATAACCCCAAGGCCAAAATTCAAACCAACTGTTCCATGCAATGGTCGACAGATTATTAGCAAAACTGCAGCCTCAACTGACATAGCAACTAGGGTTTCTGGGTGTAATGCAAGTAGCACACAAACATGAAGTTCAAGATGATTCAGAAAAATATTGATATCTGTATCTATGTAACATTATGTATCCTATAGAATAAAAGCCCAATATGCAAATCGACCGAATGGTGGAACTACCGGTGCAATGACTGGTGGCTATGATGCGCATTGACCACCAGGGGGCAGATGCTCAATGCAGGAGCTGCCCCTATCCTGTAGGCCCCAGGCCAGCCTAGGTGGGTGTCAGCGAGGGTGGGGGGCCCCCAATCGCCCCACCAGTCACCCCACAGATCAGCCCTGATCGCCAGCCAGGCCTTAGGACCCTATCCATGCACGAATTTCGTGCACTGAGCCTCTAGTTATTAAATAATATTTAATAAATAGTAATACATAATATTATTGCACTTTAAAAATATCCAACATATAGAAATTATATATATGTACATGCTTCTTCATATACATGTATGTTTGCTAATAAGCCCTCAGCTAGGATCATGAAGTCTGGTGTCAGGTTTACAATTTAGCAGTCACTCTCTAAGTCAGAGCACAGAAGAGATTCCCAGATTGGGCGGTTCCCTGGAATAGTTTTCCTTTTCCCAGATCCAGTAGCTGCAGAGACTCATGGGCACTTAGGGACTCTGCGCAGCGGGAAGGCAGCTGCAGAACAGACATGGGGTATTGAAGGAGGTGGCAGGAGCAAGGTCAAAAGTAACACCCGTGACCTGCTGGATGGAAAAGGGTAGATTCTGGATTCCAAGCACCACCCCTGGAGTGGACCTGAGACTCCATCTTCATCACTCCATTGCGACCACATGCAGACTGGGCAGGGGATTCTGTGACCTCAGCCCCAGTAGCAGGAGTCTGGGATAAAAGCCAGGCTTGTCCCAAAGGACCAGTCAACTTCCATCCTCAGAACTGTTGCACTTTCCTTGCAGAGAGCTGCTAATGGGTATTTGATGGCTTGTTTTTGCAGCAAGAATCAGGACAGCAACAACAATAAGATTTCAACATCGACCTGGAGATTGTGCTCTGCACGGGACAAGACAAAGATGTAAAGCTCCATGTCTGCTGGGCTCCGTACCCGAATGTTAAGGACACACATGAAGGGCTTGGGAAAGGCACAAAGATTCATGAAGTCCAGGATAGGTGATAAGAAGACTAAGCATCTTGTGTTGGTTGGATTTTTAAAATTTATTTTTTGTCCATTTGGGGGGGCATTTTGTGAAAGAGTAAATGTGGAGGCAGAATCTGAAGGTGGGTAAGCCTGGATGGGATTTGAATTCCATAATTACGACTCTAATTTCTGCAGTCAGCTCAAGGCTCTGTTGCCTGCTCTTGCACACA